AAGCCTGGCTCAGACAAAAGGCGGCGTTCGGAAGACGCAACAGGTCCAGGCGATGAACATTGCTATAAACAGCCTTCTTCCGCACTTCGAATGTACCTACTGGTCAGCAAAGCGGCAGAACGAAATCTTCGACCGCGCAACCCATTGCAGGTGTCATCAGCGGGCGATTGCGTGTCTGCCCGGACTGCGCAGACTCTGAGTGTAGCATACTTTGCAGATCCTTTTCAATCCTCGCAATCCTCGACGCAGAGGACTTGTATGACTCGATTGCAATATGGTGAGCGTGAACAAGCACTGACACATGAAAACAGAGAGCATCCTGAATCAGGGAAGGGGTCGTTTCAGGCTCTTTGCTTTTGCCTGGCACCAATGACCTTGAGCTGCAGAGAAGCTCGGAATCAGTCGCAAAAAGCAAGACTTGGACGGAACAGCATGTGATCTCACCTTGTTGTATACTTTGCCAGGTGGGGCACCCATGATGAGGCTGACGATTGCATCTCTCGCAATCCTGATGTTTTGGAAGCTGCCCAGAATGTGAATCTGACGACGCCAAAAGGCAATCCATGTCGTCAGCATGCCAGTTGACGAAAGCAACAAATACCATACGACGCACCTTGTTGTCTGCGAGCACAACGCGCGTACGGCTTGCGTTTTCTATAGCGTATCGCGTTCGTCCATCCTTGCCAGCAATGCGGCCTGCGAGACAGGGAGGCGAAGGCGATCACTTAGCAAGAATCTTCGATGATCAAGCCATGTTCAGGGCGAACCGTCAACCCCAAAAATCTTCAACTTGCACTACTCACCGATAGCTCGGCTCAAATGGTCACCCTGAAGCGTCTTGACATCCTTGATCTCGAATGTCTCGACGTAAAGGTCGTCCATGCGCAACAGAGCCATAGCGTCATCCGCTTCGAATCCCAGAGCAAATGCTTTCACAAAGTCTGCCCCCTTTTGAACCTGACCTGCATCATCCGTGTGCTTGGAGGACTGTAAGCGAAATGGAAGCGTGTTGCGACCTTTTGAGGTCAGCACATGTAGCCTTGTTGCCTACAAGCTTCACCGAGTAGCACGCATCCAGCTGTCAGCGAACACTCACTCGAATGTCTACGCTCTTGCGCTTCATGTTCATCCTGACTTGCAGGCCAGCCATCTCTACGAGTGGCGTGTAGATCTTGAGCCATTCCTTCTTCAATGGCGCCATCCGGTGAGGTGGAATGGGTACTCTCCTGCTCTGGATCTGAGATGTTTGCGAGGAGGATTGCTGCGCTCTCGTGAGTGGCGCAAAGCTGGGCTTCAAGGAAGGATCGAGAGCGGATGCATGCGTTTGATCAAGCGTGTGAGATGCGCCGTTTGGTCTTGATCCACTCGATGAGCCGATGAGCAAATCGTCGTCATCGTCCATGTCCATCCCTGCGTCTTGTCCCACGTCCGCCGCAGCATCGTCGCCATCCACATCGCTCATCGCCTCGTCCTCGTCATCTTCCACCTTGCGCAAAGGATTGAGGACTTTAGACTCCTGCTTGCTCTTTCCCAGTAGCAAGTCTTTTGCCGATTGCGGAGCCTTGCTCTTGCCCTTGTTCGAAGCTGGTGCGTGCGCTGAGGAGCTCGAGGCTGCAATGTCAGCCCAGGTGCGAGGCATGGCTGTGATGGTGCTGATGAAGGAAGGTGAAAGAACA